AAACTGCCCTGGTAGGGTAACAGCCAGCTCGCAAACCCAACAGTTACAGTGGGTAATGGAGGTTCGATAGTATGTTCTTCAAAAATCTTAACTTCAATCATTCTTCTATAAATTGAATCTCATTCTAAATGCACCAAAGGACTGTTGAAGAAAATGCCATGTTGAAATGTTTCACCAAGAAAATAATCCCACTCTTGGATCCCTCGTGGAAGTTGTCTATACTGGGTGTTCCTAAACCACAGTGTACTTGGGATACTTCCCCTATAAGGCAGCCTTCTCTACAGGACAGCATCCACATCACAATGACAACAATAATGTTAAAATGCTTTATATCACTCTTTATTTCAAAAGTGCTTTACTAACATAGACTAATCTTCACAACATTTAAGGGAGGTAGATAAGTATTACACCACTTTCACAGATGGAGAAACGGAGGCAAAGATTAGTAAATTGTGTTGAGAGCATAATATATGGCACGGTTAGGTAAAGACTTTGTTGCTGTCATGGATCACTGGTGATCCTTCCCATGACTTCTGAGTCCCACCAACGCAGCCCGGAAGCAGGTTGTCCACAGTCTGGCTAGTCTAAGGTACGCGGCACCTCGTTGCTACCGATGTTGAATGTGCTGCCCTTTGGCAAATATTTCCCTCACACCCGTTCTCACATGACTCCACCTCTGAAACAGGGGAGAGTGGGAGCTGTTGTGGGTACAGAAGGAGGAGCTGGAGGAACAGGGCCGGGAAGGTGGAAGATAGAAAATATGAACTGATATCAATGCAAGGGCGAGGGAGAACAGGAGGACCGGCTGGAAGCAGCCAACGAAAAGGAAACCCACAGCAGAAAAGAAGTGTCATTCCACTTGAAAAGCTCAGACATCCAGAAATGCTATTAAAAGGGTAATTCTTAGCAATGACATTATAGAACCACTCCTTGTGGCTTTGCCAAATATAATTATCAGGTCCTTCTGACATTCCAAGGAGGCAGAGCCATTCCTTCCCCTGGTGCAGGCCAAGTGCTGATGTAATTGACCTGACACTGCAGAGGCTGTTGACAACTCAAATGCACTCTGCCACCTCTCTTCCTCCACTCTCTTCTAGGGGGAAAAAAAAAGGCCAATGCATTTTATGATTCTCTCTGCAAAATTCCTAAAACATTCCCTAAATTTTTGCTGCATAACAGGGTAGGATTCTGTGTTTGACCTTGGTAAAGGGGCTGTGATAGGCATACATGGGGACCACCAGCCCCCCTCAGCCAATGCCCCTTTATACAACATGGGACACTAAGGAAAGAACCTTTTCTGCTCTTTCTGGCACAAAGCTATTATAAGAGATGGTGACGTGCACCACCAGCTGCAATGGAAGTACTGGGGGCAGAGGCAGCACCAAATGAGGGGGCTGACAAGGACCCAAGGGGCTAGAGCGTAGGATGGACAGAGAGAAGAGGCAGAAGTCAGAGCAAAGAGGGGACAAGCAAAGCAGAGATGGGCACAGGGGCTCGTGTTTGAGGCTGAGTGGCAGGTAACAGCATTAGTTCATCTCTTGGCCTCTCCTGGTTTGGGTCAGAGCCAGAAATGCATCCTTTCTGCCTCTATTTTAATCAACAGCATTATTCTTTCAGGCATCTGGCTTTAACACCTCGCCCCTCCTCTCCAACAAAAGCAATCAACTGCCAAGCCTGACTGATTCCACCTCTGCAGTGCCCTTCACTTTGCTCTCCCTCAGTCCAACTACAGCCTCCTCTAGATCCTCTTATCATCTCGTCCTAACCAGGGCCAGACCCTCCCACCTCATCTCCCCGGCTCCAGTCTTCTCTAAACTCAGTTGCACCTTCTCATCTTCCTCCTGGAGCACAGTGTTGATCATGCTACTGCCCAATTTGGAAATTCACCTTGTTCTCACTGCCTCCCGGTTATGTGTCTCATCATCTTGAATCTTCAACAGGACCTTGCATCTAGCAAAGGTTCGCCTATTTCTGAATCTCCATCTGTCCAAATGCCAACTCTAAAGACTTAACTCAGATGCCACCTCCTCCAGGAGGCCTTCCTTCCTCCTGGAGGAGGTGGCATTTGCTCTGAGCTACAGATGCACTTGAAGACATGCGCTAATGAGGTACCTGACAGCTGTGAACAAGTCTTACCTCCCCTACTGGCTGGCTGTGTCCGTGATTTGGCCGGGTGGGGGATTGTGAACTGCAATAAATTTGTCTATTCCCTACAGCACCTACCAAGAAATGCTTTTGCATTTCCACTTCAGGTAAGGAACTGCTCAACAGTGAAATGAACATATATCTGTCCATGAATGGAGACACCAAAGTACACTATGGGTATGATCTGGCTCTCAGGACAAAACAAATCCTTTACAGAACTTTGAGGGATGGGACAGGGGCAGACAGGTGGGAGGGACCATTTGTTTGGAATAGAGAGAGCTGGGACAGAACTTCTCCTTTGCTGTTTACTAGCTACTGGTCTGGTACAAGATGGTTCTTCTCTGAGCATCATTTCCTCACTTCTGCATGACCTCACAAGGTTAAGGATCAAATGAGGCACATCTGTGAGCTCGACACCACTGGTTCTCAATCCCAGTGATGTACCATAATCTCCAATAAAGTTTTCCCAAAATGTAGAGGACCAAGCCCCAACCTGGGTCAACAGAATCAGAATCTTCTGGGAGTGGGGCCAGGTGGGACTAGTTATTTACAAAATACTATTTCTAATGCATAGCCCAGGTTGAAAACTGTTATAAACTCATAAATACCATTAACAGTAGAGCAAGATGCTTTAGGCTTCTGGTTTCATTATCCTTTATTTGGTTAGGAATTAGTTCTGTTTTTATACTTTCATTATGTGTGTGAGCATTTTTTGTATTGTGTTCTGCATGGTTGTGTTTAAGTGCTTAAGTGATAAATTCTGAGAGAGGATGATAACCGGCACACTGCTGTACACAACGTGTACCTAACCCAATTGTGGGGGTGGGGGTGAGGGTGGGGAGAGAGTAAGTAAAAACTTCACAGAGTCCTCTGAAACCTTGCTACACAGAAGTGTGCTGACCACGCAGGCAGAGCTGGCATAACTTGGAAGCTTACAAGAAATGCAAAATCTCAGGTCCCACTCCAGAAGCTGCACATTAACGAGATTTCCAGATGGATCAGTAGGTGAAGCAAAGCAAAATTTCTCTCAGTTCACATCTGTGCTGAGGGTCTGCTGTTCCCTGCCCTAATCCTGAGGAGGTGGGAGGGCATGGAGAGTCAAGTCCTGTCTCCCATAAATCGTTTAGGCTTGAGACTTTATTGAGATGTGTCTTGTCTAAAGGGTCCATTTGGTAAAAGCTAAATGAAGAACACAAATCCTTGCAAAAGGATCCTTCCTTTCAAAGACTAGTCTTCACACCTTTCCTTCAAATCACCAGTTCCTCTAAGGTATTTAAAATATGATCAGAGGAGAGAATAAACTGATATCCACGTAAGGTTTATGCAGTGCTTCAATAACATGTATATGTTTATCTTACTGAACTTCTAGTCCTCAGGACCCAAATCCCAAAACTGTGAGGACAGGAAGCTGAGCCAATGCAGTAATCAATTCTTCCCTGTTGACCCACACCCTCTGGACAACTATGATATCAGCGGTACCCATCCAAGGCTCTGCAGACCATACCACAGTCAAGGAGCTGCAGCAGATTCTGAACATGATCTAGACCAACTTCCTTGTATGGACAGGAAAGACCAGAGCCGCGGATTCAAAGGAGTTATCCCAGGTCACACAGCACACTGAGGCAGAGCCACGATTGGAATTCAGGCCCTGACTCCTAGCCTGACACTCCCTACAGAACCTCTGCCACACATACTTTTCTTTCCCCACCACAAGGCCTTGACATTTCATGCTCAGAAACTGCTGACCTGCCTTGGCACGTGGTGTCACTTTGCTTGTTCCAGCGACTGCCATGCCCAATGTCCCAGAACCGTTTTTAACACTAGGCTACAGGAGAAGCTCTATCCCAACTCAACCAAAATATCCACTTGCCAATCTGTATTTCCAAATATGTTGGCAATGGGTTAAGAAGCCCAATGCTAACTGAGCAGTGCAAACTACACAGCATTACTCTTGGCTAGCACCATGAGCACGGTGAGGGAAGGGCCTTTCCCTAGGTGGCTGGAGATTAAAAACAGGACACCCATTAACTCAGTAGTACAAAGTTGGGAGGATGCTACAGAGGGAAAGCAAAGACGAGCACAGTGGGGGAGGCAACACCTTTGAAAAACATACACAGTGTGACTATAAAATTGCAAGTCTTCTCTTTTAATAAAACAGACAGGACAGATCATAGAAATCTAAATGCACATGTCTCCCTCAGGGCAGTTACAGCCTTAGTTACAACAAAGCTACCAACTGTTAGAACCACTATTTGTAAGCCCTCTTTGGGTGAAGGCCTTCAAAGGGGGTTTATGAGCCACATTAGAAAACATCCTTCCAAATGTCGGATGGTTTAAAATCAGAAAAGCCACTCCAAGAATGACAGTGAAAACAAAATGAAACAAAAAACAAAAAAAAAAACAAAACCAAAAGACAAAACAAGAGGTGCTGTGTGTGGTTCCCAGGGAGGTTCCCTAAAGACCTCCAGCCAGTTCTAAGCAACAGCCCCACAACATGTGGCCTCCGGGGTCTTTCAGCTGCTTTCAACAGCAGCATGTTCATTTGGAGAAAAGTTCTGTCTACTTAAAAAAAAAAAAAAAAAAAAATCAGCCACACTTCTTTATAGTCACACTTGCAATCTGATTTAAAAAATACAACAAGGGGCACCTGGGTGGCTCAGTGGTTTAAGCCTCTGCCTTCGGCTCAGGTCATGATCTCGGGGTTCTGGGATCGAGCCCTGCATCGGGCTCTCTGCTCAGCGGGGAGCCTGCTTCCTCCTCTCTCTCTGCCTGCCTCTCTGCCTACTTGTGATCTCTCTCTGTCAAATAAATAAATTCTTAAAAAAAAAAAAAAATACAACAACACTCACACATGGTTCTCGTTATGAATTCTAATTAAGAGACATTACATTCAGAATTCTAGCACTCGTAGTGATCATTTTCGGGAGACTGGAACAGCTTCTTTGCCATTGGCAGGCGGGGCACCGGGTGCGGCCGTTTACCTGGGCCGTTTACCTGAACGTATTCTTAAATACGGGACTACTACCGCGCTAAGTTTCCTAGTCGTAGCTCTGTTACGAGGTCCTGACCGCGAGCTCACGTTCCGGATCGCTTACAGGGGAGCCGCCCCCGCAGTCTTAGGGTGAATTGGGAAAGGGCCGGTTAAAGGAGGAGACAGGCCACTCCTTGGTGAAAGTTTGTAGTTTTCTTTCCCAATACATCTTCTTTTTATTGAGAACTTCCATTTTTATCCTGTGCTCCTCCTCTGCCATCTCACACTCCCGCTCTATCTGCTGGATTTTGGCCACATGCACCTCGTTCATTTGTATCAGCTGCAGCTGTAAGATGGACATTTGTTGATGGTGTTCTTCCTCATGCATCTTTTTTAAAGCACCTTCCTGAGAGGTTTTGCTCCTGTAGTGTTTATTGGCTGTGATTCTGACAGCCGAACACGAGGGTTCAGGTTGGGAGGTCCCCTCACACACTGGAAAATGTATGAACTCTTTCTCATCATCGCACAGTTCTCTATTTGAAACAGCAAATGATTCTGAAAAACAGTAGCAGAAAACACACGTTCAAAGATTTTATAGGCAGAGAGAAAATCGATCCTATTTCAAATGACAGGTCCCCCGCCACAGGATGGAGCGTTGGCCTGCATGTCTACGGGCACCCTTGTCACGCCTGACCTTTGAAAAACCCGCAAATCAAACCAGCGTTCCCTTCAGAAGTCATGATACAGGGTTTTGTCCCGTCATGTCTAGAACTGTGAACTCCGGGAACAGTGGTCCAAAATTGTGCTGATCAAGAACTGGAGACCTTGGCACAGTGATCTAAGTTCTCAGCGGAAGGAGTCAGCAGAAGACCACACACGAGGCCAACAGTGGGTTTTCAGATTAAATTCTCCCTCAGTCTGACCTCCCTCTCTCAGTGTCTCACTCAGCCGTGAGGATGTATTATGTTCAATCTCCACGGGGGTCCCACTGCTCTGTTTCCTGGTCACAGGTCTTAACCCTGGATCTTACAGATCTTACAGATATTCCTGAAAGGTGAGTCTGCATTCCTCGGTGTAACCTCCTCGCACACTACTCCTCGCTTTCCAGGACCCCTCTTACATAACCTCTCCCTAGCACTTGACAATCCCTGAAATTTCTTTATTAGCTTCTGCCCCGCGGCTCTCTGCTCAGTTTTCTGCACCTCCTCTCTGACCGCTCCTTCTTGAGCCTCCTTCCAGGGCTCAGACTCGTGCTGCACCCATCCCTCACACCTTTAATATCCCCCTGGGCTTCCCACCTTTAGCTCTGTTGTCACTGCAGCCTAAGTAACACTCATAATCTCATTCTAGCCTGCCTTTATCTTTCTGGCATTCTTCTTCAAAATATTCTCGTTGCCCTGCAGTCCTACCACAAACTTCACATTCTTTAAGGCCAAGCACTCTTTAAAAAAAAAGAAATGGAGCTCCTGGGTGTCTCAGTCGGTTAAATAGTCATGACTCAGGTCATGGTCTCGGGGTCCTGGGATCGAGTTCTGAGTCAGGCTTCCCACTCAGCGGGAGTCTGCTTCTCCCTCTGCCTCTACCCCCTGATCTAATAGATAAAATATTTTTTAAAAAGTTAAAAAAATAAAGGCCAAGCTCTTTTTCACAATTCTGTCTCTGTTCTTTCAGCCAGAGGCTGGGCTAACTATTCCTCTCTCTTCGCTCCCACTCCCAGACTCTGCACTCACTCAAACCTATACTCTTACTCTCCTTTTCAACTGCCCCTCAACCCTTACTTCGTTCGAGATCCCTGAAACCCCAGATCTCTCTTTTCTCCACTAGTACTCTACTGTTACGGCACTTACCACATGACCATGCCTTATTCATTTCTTTAATCCTTGGGCACCAATTATTTTGCTTGGTACATAGAGGATGCCTAGTAAATATTTTTTGGCTGAAGCTCTGAACACAAAGGGAGAAGAGCTTATGGATACAAAAGGATGTCATTTTTGCTGGTGCCACGTTTGCACTAGTATTTTTATGGGACGACATTTTTTCAATTAAAGAGTTTCATAAGGAAGACACTAACTCCAATAACCCATGGAGTTTTCCAGCTGTGACTCCAAGGCTTTCTTGGGAACCTTTATGTTTCCAATAATGAGAACTATCTCCTTGGAGAAAAATAATACCAATTTATTAACAGAGTTGATTACATTATTACGTCCACTCCATTATTCCACAAGATGGGATGCCGGGAATGTTAACGGCTACTGGGGGATACCTAACTCATGATACTCTGTTAATAAAAGGAAAATAGCTACTGTTTAGATTATTTCACTCCAAGGGGTTAGGTTACAACTGTAACTGATCCCTAATTAAGATTAAAGGAAGGGAAGAAGTCTCACTTCTGAAAGAGGTTAAAAGTACTTCTATGTCATCTGGAGATAGCGAAGATATCTCCCTAGGAATCCTTCCCAACTCCGAGGGCTGTGGCCTTAATTGGATGTCCTTCCTTCCTGCTCCTGCTGCCTCCTGAGCCTACCTCTGGCAGAGCACTTGTTAAAACTGGTGGTTTAACCACCTCCCCTTCGGGTCTCTGAATATTTTGAAGACAGAACCTGTCTTTTACTCATCCTTGTGGAGAACCCACCACATGGCTTGGACACTGCTGGCCACGTCAGAAACGCGTGGGAACGAACTCGCTGCAGTGGGTCACATTCCTCCCAACCCAGTACAACTGTGTAGACAGGACAGGGTCCTGAGCAGAGAGCCAAGGCACAGGACAAGGGAATGGGAAAGGCTTCGCCCTGAGAACAGGGTCCCTCAGATGTGAACAACTGTAAAGAGGATGACCTCATCTGCTTTCCGTCTAGTCTTAGATCTGAAAGTGTCTTCTTGGAACACTGGACGCAGAGAAATTTGTTGGTACCTCTAGCCTCTTTTGTCTGTGATTCCATTCCAGAGGATAGTTTCGTATGTTCTCTAAGTCTTTAAAGTCCATGCCCTCATGATGCCACTCATCTCTCCCCACTTCTAAATGCTCGTTTTTAATTTCAACGATTACAGGCTTTAGGGGCCTGATGATGACGATGATGAAGGCAGCTACCATTTTCTGTAGAGCTAACCAGGCGCAAGGCTAGTGCTCTGCAGCATCACCTCATTTAATCCTTACAACAACCTTCCGAGGGGGAGGTATTATGACAGAAAACCAAACACATTAGCCAAAGTCATTTTGCTAACTGAAAGAACCAGGGCTCTAAACCAGGTCTTGCATGACTCCATCATCCAAGCTCAACTGCTACGACACCCAGCCTCTCTCTAGTTTACTTGCTCAGCTGATCACTTATGCATCTCAAAAATGCTGCCTCCAGGGGCACCTGGGTGGCTCAGTGGGTTAAAGCCTCTGCCTTCGGCCCAGGTCATGATCCCAGGGTCCTGGGATCGAGCCCCACGTCAGGCTCTCTGCTCAGCAAGGAGCCTGCTTCCCCTCCTCTCTCTCTGCCTGCCTCTTTGCCTACCTGTGATCTCTGTCTGTCAAATAAATAAATAAAATCTTAAAAAAAAAAAATGCTGCCTCCAAGTTGTATCCACTACAAAACACTCCATTATTAAGAATATGGGCACCTATTTCAAATTTTGATCTCCAAATTTATTCTATAGAGCTATGAAGATGAAGACAAGTATGGTCATGTCTGGGGGCAGAGAAATGACTCTATTTTCAAACTGTCCTTTTTTAGTTTAAATGTGTGCTAACATAGAAATTTTAAAGAAAAAAAAAAATCCAGGCCTCTTAAGAAAACTCTGGCAGAAGATGGGGCTTAAAACTAGAGGAATCTGATGGAGTAGTTAATTAACTTTCAAACAAATATTAGCTCCAATGAATGGAAGCTAGTGCTCAGATGGGGAGAATCTTCTCTTAATTGGAAAAAGACTGTCCTGGGAATGGCAACCTGCTGCAAACACATACCATGTAAACTCTCTCTCAGGTAACACAAAGCTACCCGAAGTAGAAAACAACTCAATATTGTGCAAAATGGATAGGAAGGCCTAAGGGCTTTCCAGGGAGCAGAGAACACTCAAGGACGCACTCTTCCACTTGGGCAATTTGAGTAAGTTTAGTATCAGCAGGAAATAACCTACTACGGCAGTAACCAGATGGAAAGGAGACTGTGTACAGGCCAACCCCCAGCTCTTCTCCACAGAGCAAAGGTAAGAGGGCTGACTAGGAAAATAGATGAACAAGATGCAGTGAGTGCGTACTACAGAGTATGGTGCATCAACTGAAAGAAACATAGCCGATTTACACATTGCAGTGGGGATGGATCTTGCAAACATTCTAAATGAGGGCGCCTGGGTGCTCAGATCGTTAAGCGACTGCCTTCAGTTCAGGTCATGATCTTCAGGTCCTGGGATCGAGCCACATATCAGGCTCCCAGCTCAGCAGAGAGTTTGCTTCTCCCTCTCCCTCTGCCTCTCCTCTATTTGTGCTCTCTCTGCCCCGCCCCAAATAAATAAAAATAAAATCTTAAAAAAAAAAAAAGCCATTCTAAATGAGGGGTGCCTGGGTGGCTCAGTTGGTTAAGTATCCAACTCTTGATTTTGGTTCAGGTCATGATCTCAGGGTCATGGGATCAAGTCCCATGATGGGCTCTGCAACTCAGTGGGGAGTCTGCTGGAATTTCTCTCCCTCTCCCCCTGCCCCCAAATATATAAATCTTTTTTGAAAAAATTCTAAATGAAAAACAAGGCAAAACAAAAAACTGAAGAATGGTATCCATAGCACAATTTTCAATCTATGTAAATTTAAAATATATGCACTCAAAACACCAATGCCTGCTCTCAAGAACATGTGAGAGAATACACAAGCACACTGGACTGATTAGGAGGCAAAAGAAAAGAATGAACGTGGTTAATAGTGATAAATAACAACAACCAAAAAACCACATAAGTAACACAAAAAAGGGGCTTTTCACAGAACAATGATGTTAATGTGCCATGACTGGAAATATAACTCAGTCCCTGTACTGGAGTTCCCACCCCAAAAGAAGAGGATTGGATTAAAAAGTGAGTAATAATGGAATTTATAAATAAATATTTACATTATTTAATTATAGCTTTGTATACCCATGTTTGCATTATTCGCTTATAGCTTTGTAATAGAGAAATAATAGCTATAATATAATAGCATATGAAATTAAATAGAAGTCCTCTTAAAATAGTTGAGTACTACTGGAAAGCTCAGTTTTCTTTACTTTTTTTTGGGGGGGGGAAAGCTTAGTTTTCTTAAATGTATTTGACATTTTGACATTTGGTCATCTGACCCTCCTTTTCACCCCTAGCACATTTTGTTGGCTCCCTTAATTTGTTCTGCAAACCTGTTCCCCCAAGATAATGGGAGATACATGTCATAGCCAAATGATCACATATTATAAATCTATAGGGTACAAATTGTTTCAATATATTTAAGGGGGAAATGCTGGGTTTTTTGCAAATGTTTTCTTTAGTGTTAAATTTTAAGACTACTGCGTTCAAATACAGATGTACCTCTCAAAAAAGTCATGGATAAAGCTAAGAATATCCAGGGAATGGTGATCAAGATGACACAGCTGAAACCATCTCACACAAGAAATAGTTGGAGGGAGGCCTCTAGTGGAATACTGCCAGGCTCCATCCTGTTTGACAAATTTCAACAAGTCTCTAATCACCTAATTCTGCAACAGGCACTCTGTAACGTGTAAGAACAGTATTGTCCAATACAAATATAATCCCAGCTACTTACGTAATTTAAATTTTCTCATAGCCACCTTAAAAAAGTAAAAGGAGATGAAACTAATTTTAATAATATATTTTTTATCCAATATATTTAAAATACTCTCATTTCAACATGTAATCAAAATAAAAATTATTAGGGGCACCTGGGTGGCTCACTGGGTTAAGCCTCTGCCTTTGGCTCAGTTCATGATCCCAGGGTCCTGGGATCGAGCCCCACATTGGGCTCTCTGCTCAGCGGGGAGCCTGCTTCCCCCTCTCTCTCTCTCTGCCTGCCTCTCTGACTACTTGTGTTCTCTTTCTGTCAAGTAAATAAATAAAATCTTTGAAAAAAATAAAAATAAAAAAATAAAAATTATTAGTAAGATATTTTCCATTCTCTTCTTGGTATTATGTCTTCATGACACAGTATGTATACTTAGACCATATCTCAATTCAGTCTACCCACATTTTCAAGTGCTTACTAGCCTCTTGTGGCTTGTGACTGCTGTATTAGACAGCACAGGGTTAGGGATACTAACACAGACACACACACACACACACACACAGTCTATGAGTCAAACAGAATCCATACCACAAAAATGAAAGCCATATTCTAGTGAAAATTTTCAGCTTTTTCCCCACCAAGACCCAGAAGGGATAACTGACAATTACAGCTTTCTTCCTCTTTCTCGAAAGTAAGTTGAAATACGACATGAGATAAACTCAGGCTGTTTTAATGTATAAAGAGAGTTCCAGCACCTTTACTAGTGTTAACAGATTACTTTGGATACACTTCCTAACTGACAAAGCACCATGGTACTCCACCACCCTCCAGATGTGACCTAGAAACAGGAAGAGTTAGCATAGGCTGCACTTTGACCATCACCAGCAAAAAGAGAAGTTCCCATGTCATATAGGTACAAATACTCAATTTAAAATCAATCTCTTGGGGCACCTGGGTGGCTCAATTGGTTAAGCGACTGCCTTTGGGTCAGGTCATGATCTTGGAGTCCCGGGATCGAGTCCCAAATAGGGCTCCCTGCTCAGCAGGAAGTCTGCTTCTCCCGCTGACCTTTCTCGTCTCCTGCTCTCTCTCTCTCTCTCTCTCAAATAAATAAATAAATAAAATCTTTGAAAAAAAAAATCTCTTTTGCAAGTATGAGTCTTTAGAAATGTCACTGCAGAAGGACACTGAGAATCCATATTTATTCTTGCTAGAAATTTATAAATTGTGTTTATGAGTAAATGAATTACATCATTTCCTCTGAAAAGAAAGAAAAAAGTTTTTGGAATGAACTCACTCGATCCTACTCTAGAATTCAAAAATGGGGAAATAAGACTGTCCCCTTTAGAGTAACCCTATGAAATTGATATACACTAATTCAGAGCAAAGATTTGCAATGTTAACTGAAAGCTGTCTGTCCCAGCATCTTTCCTGGCAACATCTCCCAGGGAACTAAATAATTCGAAAAACAGCCCTGCTGATTCACCTGCCTCCCTCCCTCAGCATTACTCCCTTCACTGTCTGCAGAGTATGAATGGCTCTGGGGCCAGGAGATGGACAGTGTCAATTAGCAAGAGGGTCCCATCCACAACAGAAGATAATGAGAAAGGGTAAGTGAGAGAGTCACCAGTGTCCCTATCAACTGTCTACCGGGAGGTACCCTGGCTTGGGAACTGAAGAATCAAAACTCACAAAGGGCTTCTCCACTGGAAAACAATACATGAGGTTCATGGCACTATGGTCATCCAACTGGCTCCCTGCACTTAATCTGGTCAAATGATCAGCAAACAAATTTTTTATTACAATGTTGCATCCCTGGATGATCTGCCTATCGTGGAAAAAAAAATGTGCTAACTGAAAACATGTATTTGGTTCATGCGGTTATTATTATCATCTTTTTCACTCTATACGGATAACATACTTGGTTTTTAGATAGTTTCTTGTGACTTATAATTAGTCACTCCCACAGAGCTCAATCTAGCCTGGGGACACTAATTTCTCATCTTGCAAGCCAAAGTCCATAGTATTCCTAGGCAAGGGCTTGCTGGGTCATTGGAGCAACCCTCTGGCCTCCCCAGGAATATTCCTCTGCTTTAAGGTGTGTCTTCTGCAAACTGCAATGAATCATTATATAAACTGGTCATTCCTATCTTTTTTTTTTTTTTTTTTAGATTTTATTTATTTATTTGACAGAGATCACAAGTAGGCAGAGAGGCAGGCAGAGAGAGAGGGGGAAGCAGACTCCCTGCGGAGCAGAGAGCCCGATGCGGGGCTCGATCCCAGGACCCTGAGATCATGACCCGAGCTGAAGGCAGAGGCTTTATTCCACTGAGCCACCCAGGCACCCCTGGCCATTCCGTCTTAAAGAAGACAAGAATTACTGGTAATTTATCTATATGCATTCCCACTGTCTCCTTGCCTAGAGACCTTTCAACAGCCCCTTTCTCCTAACCTCTCCAAGCTATGACAATCATATGATACATAGCATCCTTGCTTCCATGACAGTCTTTTCCTTCCCTAAAAGTTCTGCATATTTTTTTTTCAATGAAAGTATATTAAAACTAAAATGAATATTTCCCAGAATTTCTCAAGTTTTTTGGAGTGCCACAAACCAAAACTGTGGATCACAATATTATAATGGGTCGGAATGCTGGTTTTTAATCTGGATGAATGCTAACAGATGTTTGCTATATTTGTCTTAGTACTTAATTCTCAAGTTAGAAATAGTTCACTATTTTAATGCAGCCTCTGAGTAACTTAGTGCAGTACTCTGCGCATAATAGGTCCTAAAAAAACACTTTTTATAAAAAATAAGTTTGAGTGACAGGGCACCTGGGTGGCTCAGTCGGTTAAGTATCCAACTCTTGTCAGGTCATGATCTGAGGGTTGCAGGATCCAGCCCCGCATGGGGCTTCCTGCTCAGCACGGAGTCTGCTTCCCTTCTCTACCTCTCCTCCTGCTTGTGCTCACTCGCTTTCTCTTTCTCTCTCCCCCTGTCAAATAAATATATAAAATCTTAAAAAAAAAAAGATTCATCAAATGAATATAAATTCTCAAAGAAATCCTCTTTGATAGAGATGACAGAGGTTGAGACAAGCAACCAAGGAACTTAGTAACCATATGAATACAGCCCCTTATCTTTCCTTATTCTTCATGATAAAGATGAGAGAGCCCTCGAGAACAAGGGTATCAACAAGTCCTTTGGCTGTTCTGTATTTCTAGAACTTCCCTGTTCTACAGAACCTGGGGATGGTGAACTGGGAGGAATCAGGTTTGACCTGAGAGCTTCTCTTTGATAAACACCCTCGGAAAGCAGAGACTGTAAAGCGAAGCCATGCAGCAGGTGCCCGGCGAGAACGCGCGCGCTGGCCCGGGGAACCCATACCTTGGGCCGCGCCGTCGGGGTGGTATTCGGGCTCCTCCTCCGGGGGGCTCTGCAGGAAGTACAGCTGCTCGGGCAGCATGCTGGCGATCTTCTCCTTCCCCAGGACGTGGGTGCTCAGGAGAGGGCTGACGCTCCGTTTCACCTTCTCTCTCCTCTCATGGGCCATAATCTTTTTGGTCCGAGCCTTGATGTTCTCCCAGCACTTCTTCAGCTGCTTGAAATCCCGCAGCGACACACTGGGCTGAGAGTTGTACTCGTGGGCGAGTGCCTGCCAGGTGCGCTGCTTGAGCGCAATAGTTCGCGCGTCACTTTTCTTGCATTCCAGCACATACTTGTACTTTTCTACCAAAGCAAGCAGGATGCTCTTTTCCAACTCCGAGAAGTATTTGGCAGGTTTTATGATTTCGTTGTTTTGCATTTTCCAACCTATTTCTCCTGGCTGTCAGCTATCCTGTAAAAGAAGTTTGAAACAATCGTTACCAACTCTCGCAAGGAAAACGGCCGCCTATCCCCTTAGCTTATTCCCAACTTGACTCCCTGCCCTGAAACGCAGGACTTTTTCTCCCGTGAATGTGGATTTAGGATGGTCTCAAGAAAAACGTTTAGGGGTACCTGGGTGGCTCAGTGGGTTAAGCCTCTGCCTTCGGCTCAGGTCTTGATCTCAGGGTCCTGGGATCAAGCCCCGCATGGGGCTTCTGCTCAGCAGAGAGCCTGCCTCCCCCCTCTCTCTGCCTGCTTCTCTGCCTACTTGTGATCTCTGTTGAATAAATAAATAAAATCTTAAAAAAAAAGAAAAGAAAAGAAAAGAAAACCGTTTAGACCGTCACTAGAAGTGGGGTTTTACTTCAAAGATGTTTCACGTAGGTCCTTATTCGTAGGGCCTGGCCACTCTGTGAATATCTTGCATGTAACCGCAAAAAAAGATAAGTTGTTGAACATCTACGTGGAACTCTTAATTTGTTCATTTATTTCTACTCAATGTCAGGAAACTGACCATTCCCCACATTCACAATGTTAGGCCGCTTTTCAACTAAACAGCTTTCTTGAAGTTTTGTCACAGCTGAAGACAAGAAAGGCCACAGTGTAACCAAATGGGATGGGTAACACAAACTGAGATTTCAGAATCATCAAGAGATCACCCCAAAAGACCTGACACTTCCATTACTATGTGACCTTAGACAGGGCCATGCTCCTAGAGGAATTTGTTTCATCTTTAAAATGAGGGCTTGGAGTGTGTGATCCCTAAGGTCCAAGGGCCACTTTTAAGTGTACAGTCCTATGTAAATAATTCATATAATTTCAGAGGTAAAAGAGCGAAATAGTCCCCTTTTCAATTGAGGGACCTAAGAGCCAGTAAGTGGACTTCCCAAGATCACAAAGATGGCGCCTTGGGAAGTCAAGAATCTAGACTATTCTAATAATCTGGTATTTTTTTTTAAACACACCAAATATTCATTTTTGTTATGGACATTCCTCTGAAGTCTTTGTTCACATATAATAACAGTTATTAATTATATACTATTTATAATTTTTGAAATACTACATTTCTCCATTATTTTTTAAGAGTAAATCTACATACCTTTTTACATATTTAGTTTAAAAATAAATATGTAAGGGCGCCTGGGTGGCTCAGTTGGCCAAGCGTCCAACTCTTGATTTCTGCTCGCGTCATGATCTCAGGATCATGAGACCAAGCCCCATGTCAGATTCCCTGCTCAGTGGGTAATCTGCTTGGAATTCTCTCTCCCTCACCCTCTACCTACCCTCTCTCTAAAATAGATAGATGAATCTTTAAAAAAAGAAAGAAAAAATTTATTTAATATACATAAACTTAACTTGATAGCCATATACATAATGAAATTATTACTATAGTTGAGCTAATAAACATATCTCCTCACAGTTACCTTTTTTCTTTTTCAAGTAATCTCTAGTATTATTTTTTAAGTAATCTCTACACCTAACAAGGGGCTTGAACTTACAACCCCAAGATCGAAAATCGCATGCTCTACCGATGAGCAGCCAGGCACCCCCACACAGTTACCATCTTTGTATGTGTGCTAAGAGCACCTGGAACCTACTCTCTCAGTGTATTTCCAGTAGTCACTACAGCATGATTCTCTATATTTATATAGAGAATATATATATATATATATATATATGTGAATATATATATATATATATCCCTTGTCTATTATCTATTATCTTCCCATTTCCCCCACTGCTATCCTCACTCTCTGGTAACCGTGTTTTACAATCAGCGGCTAGCAGTTCAAATAGTGTAATATTCTTAGTATCATTTCACAACTATCTCTTGGGCCCTTATCGTGGGTGTCTCCAAACTACTCAACAACCGTGACTTCCCTAGGTCATCTTATCATCCTCCCCAGTACTCAGTGAGCATCTTTCACACAAAAGGTGCTTCGTAACTGTCTTACTCTTCTGAACCTATGTGCCTTTTGTGACCCCACGTTTCCCACATCTCTTAATCACAGGAAGTTTCCTACACAATTAATCTCTCAAATACATTATGACAAGAATAATGCTAAGCAACACTGAATACCGCAATAAAATGAGGGTTGCATGTTCCCCTTTGTGGAAAGGGCCAACATACCTCAGTCCATATATCTTCCAAGCCTCTGATTTTTTGGAATAACAGGCAAGCATCAAGATTCTGATGATGTGGTCCATTTAAAACTGATCATCTCATATCAAAAGAATTAGGAACCAACTTGAAAGGAATGAAACATGTGAACATCAACAAGGGTGACAGGTTCACAAACACTCATTAAAATAATCTCTCCATCTTTGTGTATGTTTGAAAAGTTCCACAATAAAAAGTTAGGAGAAAAGGTGGTGACTTTTAAATAAAGAGTATACTAATTTAAAATTTTACTATTACAAGCCAACTATTCACACCCTACGCCCAGAGAGGGGTTACTATAGTTATGAAGAGATGAAATCTGTTAGACCTGAGGCTGGAGAGGCCAGGCCATATCAGAGAGCCTTGAGATTGAGGCCAAGGAGCATGGGCTTTCCATGAAGGCAACAGAACCCGACCAGAGTGTCTCACTGTGTACCACCTCATCCCAAAGTTTAGACTGAAGTATTCATGTGAATAGTGTCTCCACATACCAGGTACCCTGCCCCACATTCACTGTAGGGATATCAGGATCAGAGATTAAGAGATTTAGATACATGTTAAGGCTTGTTGACCCTCAGGTCCTGGACAAGCTAAACAAGGAGACATTTATCTTTGGGGATATTTCTCTGTACCCCTATAGTCCTAGGTCTGTATTTCAATCATGTTGGTCTAATATCCCTAAATAACTAATTCCAGGCCCCTTCCTTCCCCAAAGGCCCAACATTTTTGGCCGTCATCAATATCCCTATTCCCTATAAATCAACATTTCCTAAACAGAAATTAATACATACCTGCTACAATATAGCTCTTCTGTACTATCTCTTAACTACCAAGATATCTATGCCCAACTGAATGTTCTTAAATTACACAGATCCTAGAGCAAATTCCGATCCCCCCATCCCAGCTCCTCTGCACCAGGAGATGTCAATATTACTACCTTTCCTTATACTCTCACTCTTTTTAAGAATCATTGCTTTGAAGATTGAAAAATCTGATTCACAGATTAAAAAGGAATTGTTCCCTATGTTTCTCTATTATGGCTAAATGCTATCTTATGTATTTATTTATTTATATATTTTTTCTTTCTAAACGAATTTTTTTTCCTAACTACTTCTTCAAGAAAAATTCCTAGAAAAGGAATCGTTGCCCCAAAAGATGAAAACACTTAAGACTTCTGTTACATCATGATCTATCCTCCAGAAACAGTGTACCAATTCACATTCCTACTAATAGCACATGAGCACTTCTGTTTCCCTACTTCGTTTACTGGTGACGATAACATTTTTTTTTATTCTATGCCAACTGTGGAAGTGAAAAATGTCACTTCACTGTTTAATGAAATATGAATTCCTGCTCTCAGGCAAATAAGTCACACTCTGAACAAAGTCCCTGTGATACTTGGTGGAGCTGAAATTACATGGAATTAATTTCAAGCAATGAAATGATTCTACCTTACAATGTATGCAGTACCACCAGCTGCCACCAGGTGGTGGTGACTTCGTGGGGAGTATATTGACCTTGTGACCAGTTGAGTCTCTAATAACTGCAGTAACAACAGCAGATAAACTTTATTGAGTCCTTACTGTGGATCAGATACTATACTAAGTGCTTAATGTGCACTATATCATTTAATTCTCCCCAAAATAGCCCGAGACCCCATTTGTTACACCATAGTATTTTCTATTAAAAAAAAAAAAAATAGGGCATCTGGGTGGCCCTGTCATTAAGCATTTGCCTTCCACTCAAGTCATGATCCCAGGGTCCTGGGATGGACCCCGCATCGGGCTCCCTGCTTGGCGGGAAGCCTGCCTCTCCCTCTCCTACTCTTCCTGCTTGTGTTCCCTCTCTTGCTGCGTCTCTGTCAAATGAATAAATAAAATCTTTAAAAAAAATTTTTTTAAGTTAAAATAAAAACTTTATTAAAGTACCAGAAAAAATTATACCACTGCTCTCAAAAGCAAATACTCAAAATTACCAACACCTGGGGACCATTAATAGCCTATTAACTAAACTGTTATTTAATCACTAGCTAAGTAAATCCAGAGTCACCAATTTACTTTGCTTAATTTTGTACAACAGCAGGCCTCGCTGGGCCATGTGGTTGCATTCTGCAGGGCTGTAAAGGAATTCTGGTATGACACAGCGTACCGTCAAGTTCCCCTACAGATTCCCAGCAGCCTCATGAAGTAAGCAGTTCATTCCCACTAACCTATTCCATTTCCCAGATCAGAAAAGTGAGTCTCAGTAGCCTGCCCGTGGCCACACAAAATGTTCAGTGGCAGGAACAAGATTCAAACCCAGATCCAGTTCCCTCACTGCTCTCCAAACCACTTAGCTCTCTTTCAGACCTGGTGGGGCTTGCATCCCTGCTCAAATTACATGTCAATCAGCAATCTGTCAGCAGGGAAAGTTCCGAGGATGGAGGGCCTCGAGAGAAGCTGTTCTTGCTTCGGTCCATCTCCTTTTGGCGGCTCTCAGCTCTTCCCCTCAACTCGCCCCACCACTTGGCCTCCACGTCTCAAACCTAGGGCCCACAGCCACCCTGCCCCAAGGTGAACCACTGTCGGTCTCACCAGAGCTCTGCAATAATTTCTGCTGTTGATCCAATAAGAACGTTATGTTTGAAAAGTAACTGTTGAGGGGCACCTGGGTGGCTCAGTGGGTTAAGCCTCTGCCTTCGGCTCAGGTCATGATCTCAGGGTCCTGGGATCGAGCCCCACATCGGGCTCTCTGCTCAGAGGGGAGCCTGCTTCCCCACTCTCTCTCTGCCTCCCTCTCTGCCTACTTGTGATCTCTTTCTCTCTTTCAAAAAAAAAAAAAAAATCTTTAAACAAACACTTCTCAAAGTAAGAGATCTCTCCAGGTGGAGCT